GGAGGAAGAGGAGGAAGAGAGGAGCAGGAGGAGCAGTGAGGTCTGTCAACAGGATTAAAAGATTACAGGCCACTCTGTTTAATCTCTGGTCCACGTGGTGACGGGATGATGATGTCACACTTGGCAGCCAGTCATGACACACCAACACAGCACAGCACCACACACACGCACATGACACACACTATCAGCATACACACAATAACAACGAAGTACACACACACACACACCACACACCAACACAACAGCGATATACACACACACAGACACACAACACGACACACCACAATCACCACCGCACACAACACAACAGCACGATGCACGATAAACCACACGACACACACACACGCACACCACACGGGTGTATAGAGTGTGTAAATAGATTTATACACTGTTTACTTGATTGATTATAGATTGAATCAGCTCCATATAGAACTGTGGTTACAGTTGACAGATATAAATGTCCTTTCTGACACACTCACTGTGTGTTTTCTCCTGCTGATGAACAGTCGTGACCTTTGACCTCTCAGCTGCTGTTTCACAACATGTGTTGTACAATTCTTTACGTACACACTTCATTACAACCTTCCTTCTGTGTCACGTCCTCCTCCCTACAGAGTCACTCAGATTTATTATCCTGCAGTGTGTGTGTGTGTGTTACTACTGCAGTCACCCTACCAAGGACAGGCCACACACACACACACACACACACACACACACACACACAGTGCCTGGACTTCTATCTTTGTGAGAACATTTTGTCTTTATGTAAATCTCCAATGTTTAACTCTGAAGCCACAGTTTCTCCCTCCAACAACAAACTAATGTTAAATGCTAATGTGGTCCAGAAACAGCAGAATGCTCCTTTAAAGAGTGAGTTTGATAAATCAGGTGTGAAGAGCCGAGTCGGACTGAAGGAGGTGACCTTTACAGACTGACACAGAGTCAGTTACCAGGACATCAGTGTGTGTCTGTAATGTGAGAACTGAACCTTTCCTCTTGGTTCTCTGTGATTTAACTCAAGTCTGACCTTCTCCTTCTCCTCCTCCTCCTCCTCCTCCTCCTCCTCCTCCTGCCTCTGTGTGAACATCCAGACCTTTCTCATCTCCTCTCCGTCCAGCTGAAACTGGTCGACTGTGTGAACGAGACCTTTTCAGGTGAGCAGTTATTTTTCTGTTTCTTTTATTGCCTTTAATTGATAGTGACAGCTGTAGAGGGGAGAGAGGGGCCGACACTCAGCGAAGAGCCACCGGTCAGAAGAGGTTTTATACATCCACTCCTATACAGTGCAGACCAGGCCTCTAATGGAGACCTGCCTTTAACAGTTTTAAGTGTCTGCTGTCTGTAGCTCACCTGAACACAAACAATCAGCAAAACTCTGGATGTCTGAGGCTCCCGAGGAACATGAATGCACCACAGCACAGAGACAGACTCAAGGTCGACCAATATGGTTTCTCAGGGCAGATACAGATTATTAGTAATCAAGGAAAGCGATATATGATGTTGCAATCATAAAATTAACACAAATTCAACCAATCACTGTGCATTCTGAAGGTTTTTGCCATTTTCATGACAAGTTTTTGCAAATCACTGTGGTTTCCTATGAGTTTCATCAATCATAGCCACACAGAGTGTTACGTCACCGAACTGCAAGAGGTCTGCCACGCCTTTGATTTTTAATGAATTATACAACAAAATATGTTTTTATTTTCACTTTCTCCTGTAACCAATTGCAAAAAAATGCCTGAAAAACTTTGCAACATGCATTCGACTTTATAGAGGGCAGTACATTCAGATTTCAGACACTTTATGTACTCGTATTTTTACTTAATATGGACTTTTACATGTAAAGTGTTTGTTCATTGTGGTATTGTAAAGGAGCTGAATACTTTAGTTTTAGACCATGTGAGAGAGCACCCAGTGAGTCAATGATCCACAACAGAAACAAGTTTTAATCATAAAACTGCAGTTAAATATTAAAAACAAACTTCTTCCCTCAACTGTTAACTATTCACGTGTTTATGACAAAGTCCTGCATCTTATGTCCTGTAACGCTCTTTGTTTGTTTGTTTCTTGTAGTTTTACATTATTGCTATTTTATATCCTCTTGTACTTTTCACTGTTCAGTCTCCTGTTTGTTGTTCTCATTGTTTGTTTATTAGTATTTTATGAGAGATTTGTGCGCAGTGTGAAGGTGAAAGTGCTCTGTGGTACAACAAATGTAAAATTGGGGTGAAATTAGATATTAGAGCTGAAAAATGACCTTTTAGTCTAAATTCAATATAAGCTGTGCCAATTGGAGTTAGATGTACAAAGTTAAGATATATATCTATATATATATATATATAGATATATAGATAGATAGCTATAGGATGGAGCTGGAAGCTAAGAAAAGCTGAACAGGGCAGTAAATAGACTTCTCATTATAACGTAAGTAAAAATGATTAAAACAGATGGGAACCATCAAGTAGCGTTTTAAAAAAGGATATAGGATGATATAAAAGTCCATCATACAAAGAGAGTTTTTGACTGTCAGCATTCATACAGAGGCGTCAGACTGTGAGTCATAAAACTCAATGAACCTGAGAGACAAGATAACACACACACACACACACACACACAGAGTCTGGTAAAAGCCATCAGTGCAAGTAACAGTATCTCTTCTCTCCCTCTCTCTCTTCCTGCTGCTGTGACTCAATACAATCTCTCAGTCAGTATTCCTGCAGTTAGCGTTGGTACGATGTATTTTTAAATAAAGTTGTATTCAGAAACAGTCTACAGTCATCAGAAAAGGACGCGTGAGGTTTGGATTAAAGAGCCGAGACCTCTGAGCCAGATCAGCCCCAAGAGGAGAGGAAGAGACCCGGGACAGGCTGGCCCAGCTTGGAGTTACTGTTACAGAGACCTGCTCCCTCAACAACCCGGATTAACATTCGACCAGCGGACCGTGTTCGGAGCCGACCGAGCGCAGGACGAGAGGAGGCGGAGTCTGTGTTTACGGCGATGATGCTCGGTGCTCAAACGCAGTGAAACTGAATGGACACTGTTTGTTTTTATGGGAATATGAAACTGAAATGTAACGGGCGAGAAGTAGAAATTACCCAAGAATATACTTTAAAATACACGATAAAACCAATGTGCCGAAATAGTCAAATTAAAACTTAATATTCACAAATATTCACAAAATCAGAAAGAAAGAAAGAACGATGCACAAGACAACATTCCTGATATTCCCGAGGCTGAGACGAGGATTTCTGCTCATGAAGTGAACACTGAGTTACTATCGGACCAGCTCACTAAACTCTTTATGAAAACACAGGGGGAGGGGCGTGGCTTCAGTCAGGGAAGGGGCGTGGCTTCAGCTCATATGTTGTCCAGGTGTGTGTGTTGCGCCTCACCTCCTCCGTTCTTGTAGCACAGGTATGGGAACCTCCACACGTTGCCGAGTCCGACAGCGAAGCCCACGCAGGACATGATGAAGTCCATCTGCCGCGTCCACGTCTCTCGCTCCTGGTATCCTGGCCCCGCCCCCGTCACCACGCCCGCTTTCCTGTCCGGTCCAGCACAAGCACTGCCGGACCCCGCCGCCGCTAGCGGGACGAGGCTGCCGTTAGCTGCTGCGGGGGGGTAACCGCCGCCGCCATTAGACAGGAGGAGGGGGTTCTTCTTGGTCTCCTCCAGGAGAACCAGAGAGCAGGAGGAGGCTGGCAGGGCCTGTTTCTCCATCACTCACAGTCAGGAACCAGTCAGGAACCA